AAAAAAGTGGTACCACTTAATCACGCATGCATGCCAAATCAATTAACACCATTAAAAACGTGAGAGATGCGATCAAATAATGCACATTACTTTTTTTAAATAACCCTTACATTATAAATTCAAATAAAGAATGTTATTATAAATATTACTATGTATACAACATAAAGTTATTATAAACTTTGACACTTAAGTTAAAATTTTTCAAAAAGTGTATTTAATCGATTTGGCTAGTGCAGAAATCATGTACATATATACCTATGTAAACCTCTAGGGCAACTTTAATACAATCTCGAAGGCGTAAGTAACGCCCATTGTTTATGTAACAAGTAATTTTTAAGCAAAAAACAAAACTGACTTCAATTGTCATATAAAAATTTAGGAGTACCGTTAATTTTTTCATGATCCAATGATCGGATCTAAACCAGATTAGTATGGGACCACCTCTGAGACACTACCGATTCTGACGGAATTCGAAGCCGGCACATTCTGAAAGCTAACAAATGCCAGCAAGCCCATCCGCACGCTCAGCCACTGCCGACTATGTATACATGCTTTCAAATGTTCAGCTTGAACAAGTAAAATACAATTATTGCTTTCAAATAACACCATCGTTTTCGAACGTATTCCGGATACGAAAATGAAAGAATATTGGAAATACATATACCAATACATTATCCTTTTTATATGACATTACTACATAGTTACTTAGTTAGAATAAACAGTATGATTTATCACAGTTTTACAAATTGATGACTCGATCCCGCAGACTTGCGGCATTGGATTCCCTAGTTGCCATTTTTGCGTAGGGACTATAAATACTTGTGTAAAAGAATATTCTAAGTATGTGTAACAGCATAAAGACTAGGGTCTTCGATTACTTGCTTTTTCCCGGTTTTCAAGTTTTTCGAAAAATTTCAATTTGAAAAAAATCAGTTTTAAAATAAAATCAATCGGATAAACCGGTTTTATTTTACATAGGTTTTCATAGGGTGAAAACGTTTGGTCTTATTTTAACTTTTTTAATACTTCATTGTTTTTTCGAGTTTTGAGTAGTGTAATTATTTACTTATATACGGTTAACACCGCCTTGTTAAACACGTCTTGGAAAGAAATCTATTAAAGGGAACAGTTAACGAGCGAACTTCGTCGTTTGCCTTGGTTGTGCGCGTTCTCATATACGTCAGTGTGCTTTAATTTTTAACCGACTTCAAAAAAAAAGGAGGAGGTATCAGTTCGTCGGAATATATATATATTTTTTTTATGTATGTTACCGCATAACTTTGGACCACGTTAACCGATTTCGATATTTTTTTTTTATCGGAAAGGTTGTACCTCAAGAGTGGTGCCATTGGTTAGATCCGATAATTGGATCATGAAGAAATTAACGATAATCTTAAATTTTTATCTGAGAATTGAAGTCAGATCTGCTTTTTGCTGAAAAATTACTTGTTACAGTGAACATTCGCGGCAAAAAATCCCCGTTCGTCAACGGCAATTGGTCAACTGACACGGTCATAAAACGTAAATTTCTTTGCTATCTCGGTATATATTTACATACATACATATACAAATCCATACATATGTATGTATGTATTATATACACCACCTTTAAATGAATTTTCGATCCTTATTTTTATTACTATGCCATCTACACCTTTCCGCGGCTTTATTTGACATTTTCCCATCTTTGTTGGCTCAAATAGGGAGAGACAGTAGGATTCAATTACCGTCTGCTTGGCAAAAAGCCTCCCAATAGCAATTTTAACCGGCGGCTGTCTAAGTGTCTAAGTCTGTCATATCCCCCAAGACGGTAGCCAGATACAGGAAACAAAACAGTTTGAGCGCACAATAGCACTTCAGAAAAAAAGGGACAATAAAAAACAAAAAAAAAAGCTTAAGGTATATTTGAGAATGGACACAAATAAGACTCACTTTTCGATTTTATTCATTTGCACTGCTGGCGACAGCAACATTTGCAGTTATTTCAGTAAGGATGCAGTGGTATTCCCGTCAACGAGTTTTTTTTAAGCTTGAGTGCCAGCAGTTTTCGGTTAGTACCAAACAAAAGGCAGGAACCAAAAATAACAAGATCGTATTTAAGTATATATGTATGTACGATTGTGTAAGTGAAAACGAAGTGGCAATCCAGTGTGTGATCGCGTTCTTTGTTGGCGGCTTGACTTTACAAGCGACCTCCTCGTTAAACAGATTACAGGCGAGCTTGGTTGTTTGCGCTCGTAACTCTTTCAGTAAACTAATCTACACTGGCAAGCTAACATGGTACACCGTGAAAATATTTGCTTCGGATTGTGAAAGATACTTTATTGTTATGAACAGTAAAATATGACTGTGAAAAAGCGGTCACAACACATTTACACTCGTGTTTTGAAAGTTAAAGCTTATCAGGTTTGCTTCTAAAAAGTCAGAACAGTGTATTTTTTTCCTGGAAATAAAATAAACATTTTACATAAAGATTAAATAAATATGTTCACCNCAGTTTGCTCAGAACAGTGTATTTTTTTTCTGGAAATAAAATAAACATTTTACATAAAGATTAAATAAATATGTTCACCGAGTTCGTTCAAAGTTTAGTCACTGTGTATCTTTAAGTTTAAGGCTGTTTCTGCAACGTATCTTATTTGTGCCAAAATGCAGCAGCGGTCAGATTTTGCCAAGTTAACCACTGTGATTTCCACAGTTTTTTTTCCAACGCCACATTTGTTCGAGTAAATGAAAGGATGCCGTTCTCGAAACGAGTGACACATGTATGCAGTTAGTTCGACACCATGTATTCGTACACTTCTGAATACGTACATACATTTGTACATTTTAGTGTGTCACTTTTCTAGCTTACTAGTGCTACCGGTGAAAAGTGTTAATTGTTAAGTGCGAATATAAAACAACCGAATTTGGCGACGGAAAGATTGTAAAATTATCCAAAATAAGGAACCATGCTTTGAAAAAAGGGGAATTAGGGGGTAACCTAAATCTGAAAACCCCCACCTACGGAGTCTTATAGTTATTAAGTAATTTGTTGTTAGAGTTGCAAAATAACCCAAATCTNCAGATTGTAAAATTATCCAAAATAAGGAACCATGCTTTGAAAAAAAGGGAATTAGGGGGTAACCTAAATCTGAAAACCCCACCTACGGAGTCTTATAGTTATTAAGTAATTTGTTGTTAGAGTTGCAAAATAACCCAAATTCTTGATGCAAATTTCATCGCTTTTATCTACCTAAAGTGCCTTAAATACATCAAATGTCACTTAGTTTTAAACGCTCTTAATGCACATGACTATTTTCTTTCAACTAATATGCTAATTTATTAATTTAACCATGATAAAAAAATGATTCGTAACCGCGTAAACCGCGTTTATACGAATTGCCCTAATATAAATGCAAGGATTGGAATTGAACAAAGATGTATGCGCTGCCACACCATTAAAATAATGTCAGAAAAATACTTACCAAGAACTATGCATGTAGAAAATGAGAAATGCAACAACCATGGAACAAGTGTACTATATATTCCAATAAAGGTTTATATATAAGAGGTTGCGCAATCCGCAGGTCCGTTATTCTTTTCTCGCAAAATTGGGCGACAACAACAGCGAAAACAACAAGCAGCGTAAAAAAACATAAAATTGGAATGAAGTGAATCGATTTCAAACCAATTGAAATCGATAGGTTACTCAAAACTACATTTACAGTTAATTTTAACCCAATTTTTACTCATGCCTTTATGTCGAAAGATCCACAAAACCGGATTTTTCACTGCGGAAAATTGTTGCGAAATTTTCATTTAAACTCGATATATCTCAGACGTTTGTGCATCGATTGATTTGCAATTTGTACACGATAAACTAGATTCTATTCTAAAGAAGATAAGTCTAACTGCACTTCTTAATACTTATTTAAAACAAAATGGTGGATATTTTAACATTTTTATAAAAATTAAGGAGGTGGTTTTTACAAATGCCAAAGTTGTGTTATGAAATTTAAAATTTTTGTTTTGTTTTAATGTGGCATTAAAGACAGATATATACGGACATTTTTGGGTAAGTTTCAGGTTTAGACAACAAGTAGCTCTAAAGTTATAACAATATTATGGTGACACCCACGAGCGGTCGCTCGCCTCTAGATGACAAATATTTTTACTGGGCACTTGTACAAGTAATTTATACAAATAATTTATCAGTGTTATATAACTCAGTAAACGCGTAATATAAGATACATAGATCGCGTTTATTCAACCCTGTATTTGGGCGTATTAACTTCTAACAAGTAAGAAGGTCGAAGTGCGGGCGGAGCCGAAAATTAAATATCCGGCGCAAGTATTAAATATATAGTATGTTTATACATGGTAAGCCGGGATGTATCAATTTTGAGTAGATTAGCGTACTTAAATTTTGAAATATTGAAGTTTCAAGCGTTTCGGAACTTTACCGTTATATGACAAGCNCAGTAAACGCGTAATATAAGATACATAGATCGTGTTTATTCAACCCTGTATTTGGGCGTATTTACTTCTAACAAGTAAGAAGGTCGAAGTGCGGGCGGAGCCGAAAATTAAATATCCGGCGCAAGTATTAAATATATAGTAAGTTTATACATGGTAAGCCGGGATGTATCAATTTTGAGTAGATTAGCGTACTTAAATTTCGAAATATTGAAGTTTCAAGCGTTTCGGAACTTTACCGTTATATGACAAGCGCCGTAATTTTAGTCCGATTTCAATAACTTTCAACGTTTTGCTTCTATGTGGCAAGCACAATAACCATACCGAGTTTGGTACAAATTGGTAGAACGGTTACCGAGATACATATGTATATGTGATCATAAGTGGGCGCTGCCACGCCCATTTTCCAAAATTTTATCATAAACGTATTTCTTGGTAAAGAATTGTTGCAAGCATCAATTTTGAATAATTTAGCGGTATGTAATATTTACTGATTTATCGAATTTTTCTAAATTACCGTTATATGGGATGTAGGCGTGGTTATTGTACGATTTTATTTTATTTTTATTTTGGATATGCTGTACCAAGGCCAACAACTGTACAAAGTTTGGAAGAAATTGGTGCAGCGGTTACCAAGATATACGCATGTAACCATAAGTGGGCGTGGCTATGCCCATTTTCCAAAAATTTATAATATTCTTATTTTTTGTCTAAAAATTATTGCAAATATCAATTTTGAGTGAATTATCTTCAGTAGCTACTAAAATATGGCAGTTTTCGTATTTTTTAAAATTACCGGTATATGGGAGGTAGGCGTGGTTGTTGTCCGATTTTGCCCATTTTCAATACCATTCGTCCTACGCCCGAGTGCACGTACCAAGTCTCGTTAGGATATCTATCTAAATTTTTACTCGAGTTATCGTGTGCACAGACGGACGGACGGACAGACAGTCACCGCTTAATCGATCTGTCTTTTCATTCTGATCATTTATGTACATTTGTCTATATCTATCTCGATTCGTTTTGCCTGTTACAAACAACCGTTATGTGAACGAATTTATAATAACCTTGTGCACAATTGCGCTCGAGTATAAAAACGTATGGAAGCATACATTTGCTCCCACTGTTGGCCGTTGTTACTTCAGTATACAAACTGAAGTGGTACAATTTATAAACGTGTTTTACTTAATTATGTAAATGACGGAAACATATATGTAAGAAGTATTAAAAACCATTGAACATGGTGATGGTAGCTCAAAAATCTTAACAACAAATCACTTAAATGCTATTAGCAGTGTTGCCAAGTTTTGAATTTGAAAAAGCACTAAAACCCAAGAAAAATCGTGTTTTTTCTCAAAAAAAGCACCAAATTTTTATGGGAGTATTCAACGGACTTTATATGCTGATTCAAATTAATAAAAATCAGTGTTTCTTGCTCGACGCTCGAATGTTTTCTGTTTTCTATAAATTCAAATATTTTCGTTCAAGCGACGATAACTTTCTTGTTTTTATTTTCTAATTGGCAGCTGTGTCCAGCGTTGCGGCTTCGCTTAGATTGAAGAAAATATTATAAACTTTTTCCTGACTCTTTGTATGTTAAATTTTTATTCATTTGCCTTAATTTTTTCTACAATTCCTGTCAAACAAAAGCAAAACCAAAAAATGAAGCTTCTTGAACTACATACATATGTGGTAGTTTAAATCTACACTGGAGTCTCTCATGATCTCGTGAACTAAAGGAACATAAGAACTTTTCTTTTCGACTGCTTGACACCTGAAACATAACGAAATTTGATTTCCCTTTTTAATGTGCCTTATTTGAGCGCATAGCGGGAAAATCTTATTGTGTCACTCTGTTTGTATGCTCGCTTACGATTGTCATTGGGCCTTGATTTTGTTTCCAGTTTTGTAAAGTTGATAAAATATTTACGATTGCTATTAATTTAGCTTAGATTTTTTTTTAAGATTTAGAGATTTGGTGTTTCAAAACTAAAAAAATGCACCAAAAAACGCACCAAGCACCAAACCAAGTAGGCAACAGTGGCTATTAGCACCAACATCGTCAGAGTGATAATTCAGTTAAAGGTAACCTCCACTAATATTCTATGCAGCAGAATATTCTATGAATTCCGTGCTAGAGACGGAATAAAAATAATGCCTTTAGATTATCCGGCACGATATTATCCGGAAAGTTCTAACGGATAAGTAAACAGAAAGATTTATTCCGAACGTTTGGAATGAATAAAGAAATACGCCCAAAGTGACACACTATAATAAACCAGAAATGCTCTCTGTTTTATGAGCAAAGAAACCTACAAAAATTTTCAGCGTCCTACCATTATTCCGGGAAGGAAAAAAACCTACAAATTTTGGTAGAAAAAGCCCAAAACGGCAATCGTGATTCAGAACGCGCAACAGCTCAGTAATTATTGGGATTGCACCTTTTCAGCGCGATGTTGTCAGGGCTGCCAGACCTTTAGAGACTAAAATCCGTACAAGGCAAAAAAAGGTGGGTGGAATATCCGAACGCTCAAATTTGCTCGGCAAGCAAAAAGCAATATACATAGGTGAACACAGACAACCCTACTTCCAACAACATCAAATAAAACAATACATTTTTTTACTAGTCGTATTTATTTATAGCTTCACAGACAAAGTTATTGTTATTTGCCTAGAACTTTTTGACAAAAGTAATTATTAGTTAGTTAAAGTTTAGTTTTTATAGCGTTTGAACCAGGGTTCGTATTTGCACACACATGCTCTGCTCACGCACATTCAACTTCCCTGAAGGAAAGATTGGTCCAATTGCTCGAAAAATATAGCCGTAGGTATAGTAGTTTTGTACCTAGACCAAATATAGTCCAAAAATTTAATGCAATGTAATATAAAACAGGCGAATTGTACTAAAAGTGGTCCAATTGTAATGCATAAGGTATGAGTTTTATTCTAAAATTGGTTACAATCCCTGAAGGAAAGATTGGTCCAATTGCTCGAAAAATATAGTCGTAGGTATAGTACTTTTGTATCTAGACCAAAGATAGTCTAAAAATTTAAAGAAAAGTAAAACAGTAGAACAAAGTAGAATAAAAATATGAGTACCAAATGAAAGAGAAAATTTTTTTAGAATTTAAAAAATATACATTTTTTTGGATTCACACGACGACTAGGTAATTTTTTAAGCTGATAAAGTTAGAAGGATTTGTTTTAAAGGACTTTTGTAATTTCAATGATGTGATTAATTCCAAAAATTATTTAAAAAATTCAGCGCAAATAGGAATAAAAAATGTCAGTACCAAATGAAAGAGGAAACTTCTTTAGAATAAAAAAATTAAAATTTTTTGGATTTACAAGGACGAATGGTAATTTTTTAAGCTTATAAATTTAAAAGGACGAAATTCGAAACAAATATTGCGAAATTTCAAGGATAAAATTTTAAAATGACATTTTCAATATTTACCAGTCCTTATGCACCAAAACATTTAATCTGAATAAATTCTACAGTATTTCCTATTTAGTATGATGCCCATACTTCTTCCCTAAGCATATTTCACTGAAATGTTTAATAATTTTTAATTTACTGACGTCAAAGTGAAAAACTAAAAATACAAGTTACAATATTTTGCCCATGGTTTCGCGAATATATGGATTTTTATGTGTAAAATTTACTATCTCACGGTGTTATATGTATAATGAGCTAGACATTTATGAAAATAATACTAATTATTAAATAAAAAAATAAATATAGCCAATACTGGTCAAGAAAAGTAGTTTCTATTATTGACATTAGTGCAAATTACAAATCCCGAAAATCCAGGGTTTATTTGCCAAGAATCGCGGGATTATCGGGACTTAAAAAAGGCCGGGAGCCCGGAATACTGGGATTAATATTCCTAGTGCCTACATATCAGTAAATCGTTAATAATACCCATCGTTCGCTACTACGTGACATTGTAACTAATTTTAGAACAAAACTCATACCTTATGCATTACATTCGGACCACTTTTAGCACAATTCACCTGTTTTACATTACATTGCTTTAAATTTTTGGACTATGTTTGATCTAGATACAAAACTACTATACCTACGACTATATTTTTCGAGCACTTGGACCAATCTTTCCTTCACTAGCGTTACTGAGCTACTACTATAAAAAAATACAAAAGAAAAAGTAAAAGTAAAAATTCAGTTCAAACCCATCATAAAAATGCCATATCACTTAGTTTTTTTGGGCAAAAGTAACAAATGTACATACATATGTAAGTAGTTACAAATGTAAGCGAAAAATTTTTATAATTTACTTGTACATGTTTTTGTTAAAGTCTTTTAACAAAGAGTTAGCGTCAATTTCGATTACACTCCATAAAACTTTTGCCGTGCAAAATTCTACCGATCAATTTGGTCCCCAAAGAATTTCTACACTTTGTCGAATTTCTATTGATTGCACTGAAAATTCTTTCACACGCTATAGAGGAATGAAGAAGAATGTGTATGCGTTCAACCAGTTCCAAAATCAAAGGAAATTGAAGGGAATCATCTCCGCGAACCACTTTTCTTACCTTTATACAAAACGTATCCAAATCAGTTTCAGAATTAGAACATGGGAACATGTGTTGCAAGAGCGAAAATTCCTGGTGTATAGCTGCAGAATCAAAACCGAAAAAATCCGACAAAAAGTCAATATCTCTTAAGGTTTTCAAGTTGACAGGATCCAGAAAAGCAATTTGCTCCAGGACTTTGACTTCGTAAGGGAACCTCTTACGTATTTCCGGTGCTAAAATAATGTCTACCCGTTTGCATCGAGAACGGGAATGATCGATTTCTTGGGTAGTTACGGTTGTTGATAATTTCTCCAGTTCAACCTTCACGGCAGGTGCCAAGTACACTTTAGAAAGAGGCTCCCAGTGATGTTGCTCATCTGGGTTTTAGCTTTCGGTGAAGTTGATGAATTCGGGATTAGTTGCATTGATGTAAGTTGGTTTCAAATAAAAGGATACAATAGAAGCAAATAGCGCGGGCATATGTTTATGATTTAAATGAATTTTTGGTTTCACTGACTGGAATTCCCTATTTTCTTGATTCAGTAGTGGATTCAAAAATTTCAGGTAGAGGTGCTTCCATTTTTGGCTATAATATTCTAAAATTTCTGCTGCTTTTTTCCTTTCCTTCGGCGTTTTCAAGGTTTATATTTCCTTCTGAAATCGTACCGGAATGTCCATAAAGAACTTTTTCTTCAAAACTATTTCACTTTAACCAATTCTCACCTTTTTCTGATACATTTCACTATCCAGGAAAATTCCTTTCCCCATAACTCTCTGTATTCTTGGAATCTTGATTGATTGTTTTTCCCTTTTCTAAGTAAACCATTTTGCTATATATATATCATTGTTATTTAAAGGAAACAAAATGCTACTTGCCTTGTTGATGGTGTGCTTTTAGGAGGAGTAACTACTTCATCATCAGAATCCTCCATTTTTGCATATTTTTATATCTACCTGCTGCGATTACCTACACGATTAAGCAAAATAGGGAAGAACATATAATTAGCATGTTCCCGTACTCCAGCATTTATTTAGTCAGAAAGAGTCCGAAGTCGTTCCTGTATACAAATTTATAATATGTAGAGCACTTTTCTCCGGACTATTTCTAACTAAATCCTGGAGTACGGGAACAGACCAAACATATGGATTAAGTAAACAAGTGTTGCCACATATCTTTTCTTATAAGGAGAAAAACGTCGTGACTTAGATAATTAGATAAAGGCAAAATGGTAAAATTTTTGCAATATGAGAAAAATGCCCCATAAATCCGCACAGCTCTTCGGAATGCTTAAAATCCGTACAGCCTTTTTCACGCCTGCAAATCCGTACCGTACGAAAAAATTCGAACCTATATATGGCAGGACTGGATGCTATGTACTTTTGATCAACTCGACAGTTCAGTGTTTGATGATCGAAATATTTTTGTGATCATTTGAGACAACATATTGAGTGTATCTTTGACAGTTGAATCTTACAGTTAGGTCCAGTTTTTCAGTGCACGGCTGTGGTTAAAACTTAGTTTAAACGCTCAATGTGGCTGGTTTAAACTAAGATTAGCCAACCAAATGTCACCCTGTGTGCTGTTTAATCCAAACTCAGTTTGCGTGATCTAAGTTTAAACTGCCACTGAAAAACGCTGGTTCTTTATGTATCAAGCCGTTTAATAAGGTGCATAACGTCGCCCACTAATCACCAGTGCCGAAAATGTTTAGCTTTTGCTTGAAATTTCTTATTTTCTCATTCAGACCTGTTAAGTAATTGGTCAAGAAATAAATTGCTATTATTTCGTGTGTGTGAATCGTAGTGCCCATGGAGTTTTGACCCCTGATATTCTACAACCTGCTGCCTCACTCTTTCCTTACAAAATAATGGAACGGGCTTATGTTTCTGCTGAAACAATGATACCTTCTTGTACTCTTCACAAACAAACTTTGGCAAACCATAGTAGAAAGCGTAGAAAATTTCTTAAGAACTTCTTACTGCTTAAGAAAATTTCGCTCAATATATTTTTCTTGGCCATTTCTTGGGCTTGATTTTTATTCGTCGAACTGAGAAAATGTTTACAAATAATAACATAAAAACAGATTTAGTTTTTATTACCCCGTTACTTCAATTGCATTTCTGCTTGCATACAAAAATTTAAAACCAACGATTCGTCTCTACGGAAAATCAATGGTGTTATTGAAGAGATTTACATACTTATCTCAAATGGAGAATAACGAATATTTAAAAAAAATTAAACGACCAACGCAGATCTTCATTATTTGAGAATATCAAGCAACACTTGTATGTCCATTAGAATTTTTCAATCCTTGAAATAACTGAAAAAAAAACATTAAACTGTGTTAATTTTTTTGTTTGTTTTGCGAGCATATTTGCAAGCATATTTACCAATATTTTAGCGCTTATCTAAGTGCTTAAAATGGATTTTTTCGTGCTTATTTTCATCGGCCCTGCTAATCACTTTTTTTTAACAACAGTTGCGCTGAACTTCTGCGCCTTCTTAACGCACCCATTTTTCTAAACTAATCTTTTCAATTTAATATTTATTGCGCTGCATATGGGTGGCGAAAATGTCTATTTGTTTATTATTTAACAGTAATTTTGCGTAGGTAATTAAAAAGTGGTATTCATAGCGTGTAATTAATTTCCTTACTTTGGGTGTAACTTCTAATACTTGATTACTGATATCACAGCAATATATGTCTTTGCAGTGGTTTTACTGATTGAGTTTTGAATGCTTGTGCTGAAAGCAAAGCGTTTTTCATTGACAATAAGCAATTTGTTGCTCATAAATATTTTCCGCAGGTATACCGATAATTGCTTTGTCGGTAAGCGGCTCGTTTGTCGGCTTAATTATCCAGCGAGCATTTGAAAAATGGCGAATGGCCGTGCAAATACTTCTAACGAATGCACTCGAGGCAGGTATGTAGGTGGTCTGCTATTAACAAATGCAGCGCAAATTATTTATATGTATGTACGTATTCCTATAATTCGTACGTACATGCATACATATGTATGCTATGCAGCAATTTAGTATTCATTTGCTTATGGAGTATACAGGCGTCAAGCTCAAAATATTAAAATTTCAGGAAAGCTCTTCGAATTTGTAATTACAGCGGCTATTAGATGTTATTCACTTTAAAAGCGCCATCTGCAGTTATTCGCTGGTGGCCGTTCAGCGACTTAAGCCATTGCACAAACCGTTGCTAAAAGTCCTTCTGGCTTTAAGGACACTTGAACATATTTGCAATGCGGCAGCAGAACTTCAGAGGGCGCTCTGTATGACACTGAATCTGTTAATCTACCAAAAGGACAATGCGAAAGCTTTATTTTCAAGCAGAATGTTATTAACATATTTACATGGATGTCGATAATATTCATCCTTAAAGGTGTTACTAATAAACTTCCTTTAAACGATAATAGCACCTCTGTTTAACTTTACGGTTAAACGATTTACATTTTCCTTGATGTTAACAGGAACTAAACAACGTGCATACATTTATTGCAAGAGTTTCATAATACTATAAAAAATCAAAAAATCAAAAGCTCGAGAAAAACGGCTTTAAAATTTACAGTGTATATATGTTTCCATAGTAAAACGAAGACGATTTTTTATCGGGTAAATTAAAAAAAAGCATATATCTGTTAATTTTTAAAATTTTGTCCATCGATAATTTCTACAATTTCAAAATATGGAGTACTATCTAAAATTAGATCTACTTTCAAATAAACTGATACCTCATTTATTGCAATCGCATAAAAATTGAACTTGGTGGCTGGATGTCTTCCTTCTCGGATAGTCTCTAAACGAGGAGGTAAACCGTTCTTAATTTTAGTTACGGTTGCTTGTCGAACTGTTTATTTGACGAAAGTTTATTGTTGCAGATTTAACAGAGTAGTTAACAGCTCCACAGCAACCATAATAGTTAAGTTATGTTATAAACCGAAAGCTTTGCAAATTTAGGCCGTTGGCCTAAACAGACTTTATTACTCACTTGAAAATTTTGAATATGACTTTATTTCACTTCTGGATTGGAAATAACGTCATATTGTTTTATTTCCGAAACATAATGGAAATAAGACCATATGGCCTTATTGCGTATGGGGTTATTGCACCCCAACAGTACAAACCGCCTTGTTGCGGATATGGACTTTGCCGCTGTTCTGCGTACTCTTGTTCTATGATCTTACCTTTACGACAATGGTTCGGTGGGTTAACCCCTTTTCTTAAGCCATGTAAGACAATTAGGCAGTGGCTCATTGGCTAATTTAGCTTTCTGGGAAAGGTGTGTTCAAATCTTTCCTTGCTAATTCGTCACTGTTGCAATTCATATCAATACCCAAGTGTCCAGTTCCTGTCCTTTGAAATATGGGCCAACTCCAGATGTACAGTCCTCGCGGCCTGGTACGTGAACAACGCCACCCCATAAAGTTGTCACGGCCCGTATAACTTAACGGCATCTCATAGGGCGTTAGCCTATGGGCCGGAAGGGGATTCGTTATTGGCGACTCGGCACTGGCTTTGTTTAGACGGCACACTGTGCAGAAATTTCCTCAGACCTGACACCCAATAACTTCTGCGAATCTCACAAATTGCGGCTTCCAAATTTAGGGGACCCATGTTATTGTGGTTGTGCGTCACTGCCAGTTTTGCGAAGTTATGGCTTGATGGCAGTATGATTTGACATCTCATTTTTTTAAATAATTTTTTGAATTACTTTTTTTCTTCAAATTTCAAAGGCCTTTTGTAAAAATCTTGAGGTCAGAGAGAAAAACTAAAAACGAAGTTTTACCATATTTGGCCCATGGTTTCGCGAATATATTGATTTTTTATGTGTACAAAATTGGCTGTTGCACGGTGTTATATGTATAAAGAACTAGACATTTATAAACAAAAAATAAAAATATTTACACAAAATTAATATAGATAAAACTATTCAACGTGAGGCGTTTCTATTATTGCCACCAATGCAAGTTACAAAATCCCGAAAATCCCGGGATACTTGGAAAATAATCAACCTAGTAATAGGTATGTATGTGCGTCATGTAGGAAAACAACAATTTTTATACAAATAAAATGATGGTTTAGGAAAAGTAGATAAGAAATTTATTTTAATCTTGTACTCTACCCTACTTACAATATGTACTAAAGTTTGTTTCGGGTGTATTACGTGTTTTTTATAGCACTGTGTAAAGTTTACATTTTATAAGATTTTCACTCAAACAAGAGTATATTTTGCTGTACAGAAAAAGCAAAGTGCATATACATACATATATATGTACATATGTGCATATGAACATATCGCTCATTTATTGCAACATGTTACGTAATCCAAAAAATCAAAAACTCGAAAACACGACCTTAAAGTGTACAGTTTATATATATACGCTCCCATAGTAAAAATGAATACAAATTATCTTCTAATAAACTATTGTTAATCGATACAGCTATGCATTTCTCGATACTTAATTAAAATTTTTTTTTCTGGATTATAACACTCTTAAAGCAAATGAGTGATATGCATTTGCGGATTAGAGAAATAAAATTTATATTTGGGTTTTGCTTTTGATAGAAGTTTGGCTGTTGCGCTTTTTCTACAACTGCTATGATGTTTCACTTTTTTTCATCTTTTCATCTACGCCGACGATCGCAATCCATTAAATTAACTAAATTTAACAAAGCCAGTTTCAGCGATGCAGATTTTTATCATTTAGGCAGGCTGTTGAATACGACATTGCGCTGCTCAATGCGGAACATGACAAATTTGCTAAGCTCGCCACTCAAACCCAACTGCAACCAGCCCCCCTTATCCCATTCCAACCAGGCGGACATGACCATGTGACCAAACTGATTGCTGTCCATCCATTGCTTCGACAATGTTTGAGAGTCATATCTCGACATCAGCGCGTATTTGCTCGTCGTATCAGATACAAAAAAATGCTGTGACTATGGCGTTGGCGTCGTTAGATTTCCGAGAGCGGGGGACATCCGAGGGGGCTGGAAGAGAATGGATACTGACAGGTTTGAAGGATAGCCACGTCATTTGTC